ATGCTTTGCTTTTTACATTAATTTCTATTCATAACTCTCTCTTTAACTTAACTTAGTACTTGGCATACTATTTTACTTTATGAATATAAATATAATATATGTGAAAAAAAATGCGTAATTCGTACGGACATTATAAAATTTTATTATTAAAAAACGCATGCGTTACGCAAAATATAAATATAGGTACTTAATACTTTCTTTTATCATATTTAGTGCAAAGTTGTCAAGCAACAACTGACTGCATGTTTGGATAAATTATTACTTAATGAACTTTAATCCGGTTTTCATCTTGTCTCATAAATAAATTCATTAAATATGAAGCTAGTTTGTCCGTGATTTGGTGAAGTTGTAGAAGGTTCAAATGATCCAAGTTATCCACTTCCTTCTTTTGACCATATTCATATATTAATACATATTTTGCTCTTGTTTTTTTATAATTTTACCGATTTAGTAAAAGATTATTCTTACTTCGGATAACAGAATGTTATAAAATTCTAAATATTTATTTATTAGGATGCATTTAGCAATAAACATGTCGTTGAGAATCAATATTTAATCATTTACGTCATCCTCAAACACGGTGAGCGTCGAAGTAACCCCCACTTGTGTTACTCGAGCGCGACTTCTTTTATTTACGAGCTGAGAGCGGCCATTGATAAATCTAGTTTGATGCGAAATAAATACCGAGACGTATTCTAGGAGCGAACGCGCGGCGGCTACACCCACAGTTCCGCTCAGAATTTATGTCGAAACCGACATTCACCACGGAGAACATTCGCAGCAAATAACCGGGGCGTTAAAACAACTAGTAAAACTGGCGCACTTAACAAACAGACGTATCCGTATCAGATATAGCGTATCGCAAGGCCGGGACATTACTTCTGCTCTATCGATAAAGCTCAGCTGTAAGTGGAATAGTTTCGCGGGGCGGTAAACATAAATAATTGTCGTAAAGGCGATAGGGTCTGATGGATGGTTGCTGCGACCGCGCTCGCGTTAACGAGGAGGCCGACAAAAAGCACGAATGGAGGAAAGCGTGTGCACTGATCATCTCCTGCATAACAATATTACTTAACATGCTACGTGCTGTGGTCGAGGAACAAATGATGCGAACATGTATAACGCGTTCCGCTACTTATTGCCACGCACTACTTGTAACGCTCCATGCTCGTATGCATAACAGATAATGTTTTAATTATATTCAATTTGATAATGTAACATACCGGTTAGGGTAATTTTAATGCCATTCATCTGTGAATTAGCAGTTTTTTTGAGTTGAAAACAACTTTTTACATAAAATTATTTTCGCAGCATAATTCTTTTGTTATCATATAAGTTTTTAGACTAAAAAGTGTAAGTAATACAAGGGGTGTATTACTGTTTCAATTCTTAACAAAGATTTCTTTGGTTTTTGCCATAACTTTTTCAAAAGTCAGTGTCCTGTTTTTAAATGAACAAAAGATATTTTAATACCATGTCAAAAATATGTTCGATTTCCCAAACTTGTAATTTTAATTCAGAACAAGTCTCAAGTACTCATAATATATTCATTTCATGAGATAAATGAAGGCCACTCGAGGGCCAGTTGCGGTATTTAAAAAATACCCCAAATACTTGAAAAGAGCAAAATTAGCTCTATAAAGATTTACTCTGTGCAATTTAAAAAGTTGTAAGACGACTTCTTGACTTTCTTATAGGTCCATTTCTTAAGTATTCTTAGCGACACCAAAGAGAAATTGCGCTGCGAACAGAAACAAAGTGGGTACAAGCGCGGCCACGAGTTTTAATTAGAACATTTATCTGGAATGAGATCAATAACTGCCTTCGTGTGAAACGAAATGATCATTTCCTTTATATCTGCCTGTACGCTTTATGAATACTAAATGAAATATAATTGATCACGTATCTGGACGAAGTTTTTTTCTTTGTAAATCATTTTCCAGGCCTTTACGTCGTTTTTTAACATTTTGTTATCATCAAAGACATTATTTTAATCAAATTCAAAGGTTGTTATAGCGCATATTGCTTTGCATTTTCAGTTTAATACAATTTCAAATAAATAACGTCTAATGTTTCGAAAATAACAACTAACTCACAACTCACATTTTTGTGTTTTCAGCAACCATACGTAAAATGTAGATACCACATTATAGATTATATTAAACGATTCTAATAAGAAAGCTAACTTAACTGTACCAATCTGTCTTTGTAACCGTCTCTACATAAAAGACACCTTAATCTAGCTCTGTCAATGTCAGGAAATTGTTATCAGAAACATATTACACTCACCCCTGATTAACGATACGTCTTCAGATGTCTCGCGTAAGCCTAAGATAACAATCGACTTGTGTATTATGCATGAAATATGCAACGAGTGGTTATTTATTCAAATAGAGTGATGAAATGAAGGCGGTCGTACGGCGGGCACAGCACAGCGTCGAGCTGCGCGCCTCACACACGCGGAGAGAAAGCGTGTTTAATCAGATAACTAAGATTGTCAACCAAGTCCGGGCTCCTGAAATCGGGTCGAATGTCGATACACTCGATTAATTAATTGACGGTCCGAAAAGTTGGAGGTAACTGGTTCGAGAACTCAAAACTCTTGCGAAACATGTACCTACTTCCACGTACTGAACATACTATAAATGCAATTAACTGTTGTCGTATGTGTGTTAATCGGAATAATTTACGATACTTCCCCTCATTGTATATTCTCTGATATATCCGGTGTTACTATTAAAATTTAAAATTTTAACAATGATAAAATATAAAAGTCTTCTAAAATACTGGCGGAATTAGAAATAACTTAACATGCGATTCTTCATTACTACACTTTAAAATAAATTGGAAAAACGGAATAAAATAACAATTAGGATAGATAATATATACATTTAAGGAATCTATTACACGAATAAATCGATAACACATCATTGAACACCACCAAAACGTTTAAAATATGACGGTAGTCGGAAACATTAGTTCGTCTATCAAGGATACGACCGACCTTTAGATTGTCCAATCAATTAACTTGTATGAATATTGTAATAAAATTTACTGTCAATAACTAATTTATTATTCAGTGGAAGTAATACTAATGTTGTTTAAAAAGTATCGTCCGGTGTCCAATGAAAATGGAGACTGTTAATCGTAAGAAAATGTAACAAAGCTATTATCAGTATCTGTAAGTCAATCAGATGAAATTTATTATTTTAAATACCTATTATTGTCGACACCCATAATAGTAGGCACTGATAACATTTCAATAAGTAATAAACTAAACGAGAAACATTAATTCGATAAAACTGAGACTTGTCTATGACACGTTGCGTAATTCAGTCATTTAAGCCCCAGTTGTAACTCCGTGTCTCTGTCAAACAACAATAGCGACATTGTTCCGTGCCAATTGTCAATATAAAATAGGTATTAAGTTACGTAAACTATTACAACTGGATGGAGTTAGACCTTAAATTACCCGGTGGACCTCATGAATCATTTATATCAACAGCCTAAAATGTACTACAGCTACTTACAAGCTAGATATAACTACAAATTCCGACGTAAATAAATACGTGCCATAAAAATGTCAAAAACTAATAAACCTCATTTTGGTGGCATATGACTACAGATAAGATATGACCTACCATCTAATTCTTGTTTACAGTTATGCATGCATTATGTATTTAACTATGAATTTGGGGAATTCTAGTAAATCAGTAAATGTTTATATTTAGTAACGGCGATTAGGTTGGCGATGTGTAGTAGAGGTGGATTGCACCGTTACAATTTTATACGCGGGCTATCTATTAGTATGCATGATTCCGTTCAGTTTACGCCCGATGTCCGGAGAAAGCCGCCGTCCCGTTTATAGAAGAGCGTGGCTATTCGCCGACGCGAATTACTCATAAATACATCAATTCACAATAAAACATTGTTTTTATTGCGCGTCGCCAATCCCGTAACTGAGGTCCTTGCCGTATTTAATTGCGATCCCGCGCGATAACACCGCCGTTATGGTATCCAGCGTTTTATCTTCGTAGACTTTAAGCTTTCGAAGTATACACGATGCGTAGGAACAAGTTACAAAACTTCTTAATACACTACAGCTACATTATTCTTGAAAAAGTATATATATATATTCATATTTAATTTATTCATGGCATGTCCTCATACGTGATTGTACGGACCTAAATTGGAAATTAAAAAAGAAATAAAATACGAAACTTGCCCGATATCTTAATAAAACAAAATGACATGATCACCTGACTGTTAAGTGAAAAAAATATGGTTTGATTGTAAAGATGTAAACGTAATTTAAATACATAAAAAAATTACAATTACACATGATAACTTTCGTACAATCTACAGTTTCGTTATAACTTTTTAAATAAAGCTTTAAAAATTATATCAAGGTTTTTATGAGAATAGGTTTCAAAGGTCGGTCGGGCGCGGCCGGGCGTACTCGCCTCGACGATCGGCAATCGTCGATCCATCAATCAGAGGCGACGATCGGTGCTTTCTCGTCGTTAGCCCTATATGGCCGGGTCTGGCACCACGCCTGATGCAACTTACTTCTTTTTCACTTCATTTTCTAACCCGTTCATAGAAATCGTCCTAACTACATATTTCACTTACAACGCGACGGAAACATGCGGCCGACCATCCGACTATTGTGAAGGGCATTCAAATGAAATATGGAATTAAGATGCCCGTCTCAACGATGTAATCGTATTCGTTTAACTTAATAACTGAGAAATGCTGCACGTAATCGCGGCCAGTTTATTCGCGAAATGCTCACGGCATCGCTCGCCTTTGCTTCTGTCATTAAAGCTTGCGATAAATTAAATGGAGCCATACCTTTATATAGGCGTTTCTAATGAGTATTATCGCGATGGTGTATATTTATACGGTTTATTTATATTTAATATCTTGCGATGCACACTACGTATGCAAGCTATAATCGAGTTTAAAATATAATCGGCTAATATTGTGTTTTGTTTCAGAGCGTGGTTATGCTGATGTTCAGAGAGGAAAAATCCCCCGAAGACGAGATTAAAGCGTGGCAGTTCTGGCACGGCAGGCAGCATTCAGTGAAACAAAGAATACTTGACGCCGGTGAGTGGAAACGATCGATTGACGATGTGTTTTTGCAAAATAAACGCCATGTTGCGTGCGGAGTCATAATTACAATACAAATTAGTAATTTAAAATCACAATGACTCCTTACATTTTCCGCAAGCGTACGACGGGCGAACGGTAGCTCATAGGGATGCCAAGACACGATATTTACCGCACAAAAACATGGTTGGTCGTGCTCGAGGCGACACAGAAACATGGCGGTGAAGATTTGCGTGCGGCGAGGGCCAGGGCGAGGGCGGCGCACGCAGCACCTAATTACCGCGCTGCAGGCAGAGGAGACGCGCCGCGCGCCCCGCTGCCCACCATTATGTGTCGTTAGGACATTTGCATAAATAACGCGCAACGCAGCCCACACCGCCGGGCGAACCTATCAATCGGCCCGTCTAAAAATAAACACCGTGGCGCCGCCGCTGCCTAGCCTCATCCCTGCCGCCCCTCGTCGCCCGCCACTACGGCTACATGTTACCTACATTCGTAATGACACATTCCGTCTCGACTAAATTAGTGATATAAAACAGAATGTTACGTTTCCACGAGGCGAGGTTAAGTAAAACGATATAATAAAGATATCCGACACGAGCTCTATGAACGCGACGGCCGACTAACAGGAAATCATAAAAATTCGTGAGAAACCTCCATCTCGGAGAAGCAGTAAACACCTGTCCCGTATCACCGTATCCATTTTGTTAAATCCCGATATAAACAGAGTCGATAGCTTTGATCCCATGATATAGTCGCTTGTCTAAAATGAACGTTGAAAATATAAGCAAGCGTACGATATAGTCGCAAGCGGACATAATTACCGCGATGATATCGGGGAGCCGTTCATTAGCATGTTAATTGCGCGATGAGCCCCCGCCCGATACCGCGCCTCGCACCTCGCGCCTCGCTCCTCGCGCCTCGCGCCTCCGCCGACCTGAGAGAGTTATCGTCGCCGGTAATGGTGCTGCCGCGTGACGTTCTCAAGCGTTTTGATAGCCGTCGAACAATGTTGATAAAATAAACGACTGTTTTTATACAAATTCAATTCGATGCGTTCGAATGTAAAGACTATCTAAGTCTATTAGCACGAGTAAAATTAAATGTGAATTCGTTTTATTGCCACGCCGAAGAATCGACCGAATAGAGGCTTGCGTCATCGACATCGGCGGAATGCTTGCTTATTAATCGGCCACCTCGGCGCGAGTAAACAGCGCTGATATATGACACTTTACACATTCTAACATTGCTTAACTGAGGCTCGAAGCATTTGTAATGAGTGACGCCGCCGCAAGCGCTGCCTATAAATTTAATCTCAAGGAAAATAAAAACATGGAAGCCATTAATTCGCGCGGCCGGGCCAAGTTTAATGTCAAGGTTTTTACCTTATCTCGATGTTAGTCAAATTTTATGTTTTTTACTCTGTGGTTATTATACAAAATGAAATAGTACCTAAACACCACCGAATTTTGTCGGTTAAGACCATATAAGGCAAAAACAAATGTGGGTGTCTGAGAGATATGTCACTGTCCGTTTACTCACCATATTTATGTATACTAGAACTTTATGAGACAAAGCCCGTGTTGAAGCTCTGTTTCGTTGTTTTGTCAAACTTCTAGAGAATCCATGCATTAATTAAACAAATTGCTTACACATTGTTAAGTAATTGGTTATCGTTTTTTTAAAAACCTGCAACATATAGAAACATCTAGTATTTACGAAACGGTACATCTAGTTTTTAATACATTTCTATATTTCTTACAAAACTTTAAGTTCAATTCACAACCCAAGCTTGCATCGAGAAAATGCAAGGTATTTCGAATTTATTGTATAAACTCCTTGAAGAGGAACGAACAAGTAAAAAAATATGCTTTGAACGAACTTGGAAGGAGCGTCAAGGGCGACATCGGACACCTGTGCGTGGCAAGTGAGAGGCGAGGAGAGGCAGGGCTCGTTGCGGCACAGAGGGGCTGCAACGCACCGCGCGCCTGCACAATACGTTCTCCGATTACCTGCATGTCTTCTTGTTGTTGCGTTGCGTGTCCACTGCCCGTTGCAGCATCGCTTCTTCACTTCCACTGCTATGCCTTTAGACAGTTTTCGCTCGTCCCACGCTCGGCTGAGTCGACACGACGCAACCGCTGTTCCCTTTTAAACAAACACCAACACTACGATGAAATTTACGCCGGCACCAAAATGAGATTACATTACGCTCAATAAAATATATGTATTACATAAAATTTAAAATGAACATAATTTACTACATGCGAATACTTCAAGCATAAATTTAAATACTATACGATATAGGTTTTTGCAATTTTTTTGTTCTTTACCTCTCGGTAACAGGTCGATGTAGCTATAGATCGAAAAAAATGTATTATGTTTAGTTATCTTTTGTAGGTGTGATAAAAATATAGTTATCTCTTTACTCTACTACTCTCTACTTCTTTTTCAATCTTTTTTATTGAGTTTCTGAGGTTTTGCTATTTATGTCCGATTGCTGGTGACAGGCGAAAGTAAGACCTTTAACGTTAGCGTTTGCACTTTAACAAAGTTAAATATATTTATTTGCATTGAGACAGCATCCCGTGTACACCGGATGCCGTGACCCAGCGGGTTAGCGTCATTAACAGGCACATCTAATTATACGGGATTCATTGAATTTAAAGTAAATAATCCTCTAAATCTATATTAAGCTATGAAAATATTAGCTTATCTACATAATTTATATTTCTTCTTTTATAAAATTAAAAATGCAGGCCTGCAATCTAAAAATATTACTGTATTAATTTATTAACTTATTTTATATATATTCCTTAACTTATTTTAGTAGTCACGACTATATAGTACCTAACAATTACAATGGAATATGTGGGAGTTAGTTTGCGCAAAATAACAGGAACACTAGTTTGTCTCGTAAATTTGTTAAAGCCAGTCAAACAATAAGGCAAGCTGAGGGCGGGCGGCAGTACTCCGCGGCTCATAAACACGTCAGCGGTCGCGCGCCCGCACAGCTTGCGGCCCCGCTGATAGGGCGGCCCACGCCACCGTCGCGAACGACGCGCCATCTCGCGATTACTCACTAACGTCCTCCATATTAACATCAACTCGCTCCTCCGTACAGATTGAGGGTGGTTAAGTCACCAACAGCTCTCATAATTCACCTTTAAATATACATATGTTTATGCCAATAAGTGTATGTGCTTTTGACCAAATGGTAAAAGTTAGAAAAAGTATCATAAAGTTCTCAGGTATAATGGATACATACAAAATCGTGACTCGTTACAACAGTATAGAAAAAAATTGAAACACTAATTCGTTTTAGCTTCGCTGTACATTTTTTATGTTAATATTTAAATATATGTTTAATTGCCAAGAACATCCTTTCTATAAGGTGGTGCTCCCCAGCGAATCTTGTCCCTTGTCGCGAATCTATCGATGATATCGTGTTATTATTCACGCCTTGTGGAAATAAATTTCCGTCGTCGATGACGTATTGTGCATTAATATCTTAATCGAAATCTCCACATGCATTGTCCACAATTATACGTTCGGACAAGATGAATGACGATGTTTTGTTTTATTGCAGACACTAAGAACAGCATCGGCCTTGCCGGCTGCATTGAGGAGGTGGCACACAACGCCATCGCCGTCTACTGGAACCCACTTGAAAGCGCTGCCAAGGTATACTATTTAATAATTTATTTATTAAATTGATTAAAATATCCAGTTTTACAAAATAAAGTTATATATACGATACTTTTAATGAATAATATTATCGTATTTTAATAGTGTGAAAAATGACCTTTTCTGAAGTGTTATTACATGAATTGCAGTAGTTCATATTTTACAACATACATTGTTTGCTATTTTATATTATGACTCTTATGAGACGGTTAAATTTCACATCAAATACTTATTATACATTACTTAAATTATAAAAAAATAAAACTATCAAGACCATAAGAGGTTAAGATATAACTATTCACATAATATGCATTGGTAATATCCAACATACAAAGCAGTGGAACCATAATTTAATAGAAATAAGCGTCGTAAAGAAATAGCCGCAAGTAAACATTAAATTACCTCTGCTATGAATAAATATGCACATATATTAAAAAGGACATATTGTAAGTACGCAACGGTCATCTTTTTTTAAGAAGTTAAAATGTGGATCATGATTTTATTGCGCTAATTAAGGATCAATTTAATTGAAACTTGTCTCCATATTGGGTCGAATAGCTTTGTCCGCGCCACAAAAAATGATTACTGCACAACGTACAAAGAATCCCATACCTCGCAGAGAACGCGCTGCATCGCAAGCCATTATTATTATAATTAAACTAGCATTACCGTTTTTACACAAGTTTTGCTCTCTTTCTTAATTCTTGGGAAAATTTATGTTAGCAAAAAATAAGATCTCAACATTACAAAAATGAATTTCTTTAATTAATGTAAATATTACTGGACATGAAACGTCGTCGATAAAATAAAACTTTATTATTTATTTCGTATGGAAGCAGCGCGGTATTCTAATTAACCTTTTTATGTCGGCGACGCTTATTAACGTTGATTTCCTCGCTACCATGTTGAGTGCAGAGGCTATAGTTGCTATAATATAGGAACATGGAAGCACAAAGACAGTTTTATGAATATATAATGAAAGTCCTTCGCGCAACCAAAACCAACGTGAAAGACCATTACGGGAGTCTATCCATGTTACCGACGCGACGCCGACTTAAGTCGTTAAGCATTTAATTACATGTGTATGTTATCATTAGAATTCAATAGTAACATTGGAGCTTAGACTAAAAACAATACAGCGGAAATTGAACGAGCATTTTAATACTGTGAGAAACTAACAAAGCTGCTACTGGTCGATGTTAATATCGTCATATATTATTTTTGCATTGAATCGATAAGTATCATCGGTAATTATTAATTATTACATGAAAGCATGGCGGACGCAAGCCGTTTGCGAGCGTAAATATGCGTTGTGACAGTGATCGGTGGCGGTGGCATCGGCGTCCAGTAAAAACGCAAGGGGCGTCATTTGCATAGAGCGCGGTAATGAGTGGCGCAACGTCGTGCGATTCCTACCGACCGGCTACTGCATAAAAACCACCCTACACTGTAATACAACGCACTTCAATGAGTTTCATTAAATCCATCCTGGTTGTTAAACCTTTTTGTATCGCCGGAAGAATTCATCACGAGACAGGACGGTGCTTGGTTAACCACTACCAGTTGCATTTATCAAAATACACTTGTTATAATTTAGGTTTAAATACTTATTTTATACTGTCAAATGTAAATTTTTGAATTAGATTATATTACCAGTTATAATTTTCATGTGTATATATATTTATTTCAGATCAACATTGCAGTGCAGTGTCTAAGTACGGACTTCAGCAGTCAAAAGGGCGTAAAGGTCAGTAAATACGAGCAGAACTGCTTAAAAAAATTGCAAATATTTTGTTTTACAAGTAGGAACTCTATTACACATTTCACAAAACTACGATATTGAAAGTAGTATGTCAACGATTATCTAATTACAGAAACGTATAGGTAATGTTGTTTTATAGCGAGATATATTAATTAAACACTTTACTAAAAGTATGCAAATTAAAGTTACGATGAGACTCCGTTGATCAAGAGGTCGGTAACCGTGTTGTCGGCGACGTTCGATAAGCGTAACGCGACATTATAAAAAGGGTGGGTCGATACTGCGTCAAAAGCGGTAGCGGGAGCGAGTAATGTTAGCGAAATCTCCGCTGCCCGCTGATCGCTCGCGCTGGCACCGTACCCAGTGACGACGCTCGACCTCGAACTGACGCAATTAAGACGTTTTAACGCAATTCGATTCAGACACGTGCATATTTTTCCTTATTCGTAAATTTATCGCAATTATCCCTCGTGAACGTTTATTAAAAAAAAACTGTTTTTGTTAGAATACTAAGATAACCGTAGATAAGCGTGAAATCATTTTAGTCAAAATAATTTGTTTGAGTGGTTCTCTAATTGTTTATGGTGACCGATAAATGTAAGCTATCTGAGAAAGCCGCGCTAGTCAAACTCCACGTGTCCAACTGCTGTTTAAGTATTTTTATGTAAAATTTTGAAATATGTATTTAAAATGATAATTTTGCAGGGCCTTCCACTTCACATTCAAATCGACACCTTTGAAGATCCGAGAGACACGCAAGTTTACCACAGAGGATATTGCCAGATAAAAGTGTTTTGCGATAAGGTAAGGCGAAATACCTATTGTTATCAATGATTATTTTTTGTTGCGATAGTTTTTTCTATTTTTATTTCAATGTGTCATTTTAATTGTTGAAGGGCGCCGAAAGAAAAACGAGAGACGAGGAGAGAAGAGCAGCGAAAAGAAAATTGTCGGCCACAAACAGAAAGAAGCTCGATGAAATATATCACCCGGTGACAGAACGTAGCGAGTTCTATTCGATGGCGGACCTCTCGAAACCTCCAGTGCTGTTCAGTCCGGCAGAAGATATTGATAAGTTAGCCGGAATGGATATTCAAGGTTTCTACGGTCACGACGAAGCAGCTCTAGCGGAGGCCCACCTTAAAGGAGCGTCGCCTTTCCTTCTCCATGCAGCGAAGCCGCAAGTTCCAGCTTTGAAATTCCACAATCACTTCCCGCCCGACGCCCCTGCGTAAGTTATTCAATTAATCAATATACTTATTTCACCGACTGAACAACCGGCGATTTCGCGCAACAGATGTTGATGCAGGCTGTACCATCAATTGATTTTGTTACCCACTTTACCTTCAAAAACTTATGTTTAATTACTCGTCACTTGTGATTTTTCAACCCGAATTATCTTGCTGTTTTTTAAAAGGATTAATAAATTTGATTTTTTCCGTTGCAGTTATCGATCAGATGTGGGCGGATTGTCACCATACAGCGACCGCAAAGACTCGCTAGAACTGGAGGGCGTGCTGGGTAAGCGCGCACGCACCGGCACGCCGCCACTCAGCGAGCGCGTTATGCTGTACGTGCGCCAGGACACCGACGACGTATATACGCCGCTGCACGTCGCGCCGCCCACCACGCAGGGCCTCCTGCACGCCGTGAGTCCCTCTGCCTCTTACCACACACACTTGATACGTCACATTGACCAGTACTTGCAATAAACTAGTCAAAGTTACGGATCAAGAATGCAGCCGCCGTCCGCGGCGAGCGAGAAATAACCTTGGTGATGTTAGCTAACCGCAGAGCACGAATGAGCGATTTGGACATTGATGTCTTCTCGGTTACTCGTGATATCGATATTCGTTTATGAACGTATTACTTTAATCGAATGTTAACGTAAACGAAAGGAATCGAGACGCTTCGTCAGCGCCGCGGGTGCCGGGGACGCGGGTGCCCGCCGCCCGTCGCCCGCGGCGCCGCGTAACCGATGTGGCGCTTCATAACCCCGTCTAATACTTATGACACACGATCATCATAACTGCATGTTGTAATTAACACCCGCGCGGCCGGCCGCCGCAGTGGACCATTCGCGGGGTCCTCGCGAGTCTTCAAAATTGTCCTTGCAAAACCACTAGACCGGTTACTGAGCCAACGTCGATCCGTCAGACGAGACGTCTCGGTTTAAAAACCAAAGGCCCATTGTAATTTTGTTTGTTTTTTGCTCATTTTCAGATTGAGAATAAGTACAAAATTTCAAGTTCGGCAATAAATAATCTTTATCGAAAGAACAAGAAAGGGTAAGTGGTTTTCATTGGCGTCAGACAGTTTCTTGAGTACATACCGGCCGCCTCGCGTTATAATAAGGCCTCGCTTGTCCTGAGGGCGCGCCACTAACTTCACAATGCTTGATTTACGAAATGTCCCTTTAATTTTATCGCTTTGATTATACCTACATATTAATTTGATTCCTCCATGCAAAACTGACATTTTTATAATTTTAAATGCACTAGAATTATTTCTCACATTAATTAATAGCATTTTAATAATACAAATAGCATTTAAATTACAATAGAGGATAATATATTTTTTAAACTTTATTTAAAATACTACAATATCATTTTACCTATTAAAATCAATAACTTATAATAAATGTCGACTAAATATTTTTTAGGATTACGGCCAAAATTGACGACGAGATGCTGGCATACTACTGCAATGAGGACCTGTTCCTGCTGGAAGTCCGGCCGGCGGGTGCCAGCGAGGACGAGCCCCTGTACGACATCACGTTCGTAGAGCTGCCGCTCGACCACTAGCGCCGCGCCCGCGCCCACTGGCGCCCGCCGCGCTGCGCCCGACGCCCGCCCACACTCGCGCCGCACCCTCGCCTGACGCTCCCGGACGGATCCTCTCGTCGCTTGCTCAATGCGCTCTCTACTAATGTTACATGTATACGTGAAATGTTTAATTTTTATGGTCATCTGTGGCGGATTATGCGAAGGGTCGTCTTAACATTCCCATTAACACTCATAATTTATATGATAAGGTCTCAAAAATTGTCGATCTCAGATTGAAATTTACTATTAAGTGTTTCATTCACCATACTTTGTCTTAAATACAAACCGAATGTCACAAATTGTAGTCGGTCGTCGTTAGAAAGACGGGCGCTAGAGGGACCGACTTGTAAATACATACATATTTTAGTACCTTATGAAATTACAACACATAGTGCGACAAATTGGCGATAGCAAGTAACATTTTGATGAGTCAGAACTAAAGTGACGTGTGACAGTTGTAATGATATTGTTTAATACATATGTATGTTACATGTTAATGAGAAATGATCTGCTGCGTAGAGGAATTGTAACGTGCGTGCCATTCACTCGGTTATCATTCTAGATTGTAGTTAATGTTTCAACAGGTACCTTTTAATCTTGCCATGGTGATAAAGTAAGAAATTCTTGTCACAAACATTTTATAACATGTAGATAGTTCGTTCATCTACAGTCGATAAGGAATATAATGTGCCTTTGACGTAAAAATAATGTTATTTTTTATTATAAGTGAGTTAAGTCAAATTAAATGCCATCCACTTTGTTAAGTTTTATAAATAAGTTTGCTTTTATAAGCTCGCTCAATACAATCATTTAGTAAAGTTGATATTAGTTTTAAGTTCAAAAATGTTCAGAAATTCCGTTCTTAAAGCCATTAAAATATGTAATTTGGATTATTTTTTTACAATATCAACTTGCCAAGATTTATGGCAGTCGATAAACGGAAGCAATAAAATTTAATTTTTAATTTATGGACGAGATAGAGGCCCGACAGTCACGCCGTGTTGGCCCCGACACATTTGTTTTAATAGTCAAAACAGTCACAAAGTTTAATATGCAACAATAACATAATAATTGTGGGGAGTGGTATGTGTACGATTTTAGATTTTATTAAATAGTTTTTTTATTATTTTAATATTTTCGTTTTCATTACGTTAGTAATCGAGCCATGAGGACACTTAAGCATCAAGTAAGAACCTGACTTGCATTTTCGTTGTGACTTATTCTTTAGAAATTAATGTTTAATGTTTTAGAACTAATATTGCATCATTTTCATACATATCCGTGAATGTAAACTGAACCTATTGATCAGTAACGGAAAATATTTTTCAAATTATTCTATTATTCTAAGCGTGTTTTTCCACCGATTTATTCGAAATTCAGAACCAGGTTCTGTTTTCACAAAGGGATTGGTCGCAGACAAAGTCGCCCAAGATGTTGTTAGAAGTGCCTAGTGCGGACGGTTCGATTAACTGCCATATTATGACATAAACTAGATTACTTACCTTAGTTATAGAGTTTAAGTATAGTTTGTTACATTATGATCAATTTCTCAATCGAGTATATTATAATCAAATCTAAGATAATGCTATTGATACTTCTCATTATAATATGTATTATTGTTTTTTATATGTTGAGCTGCAATTGCGCCGCGTTCGGTTTTATGCGCGCAAACAAATTGTTATCTTCCAAGCAACTTATATTTTACACACTCGTTAATATATCTTCACTATTTTTAAGTAAATTGAAATCTCTCTATATGAAATATAATTGTTTTACTTTAACGCATCTCATTGCTCAAAGTCTGCATTTACGTTTCTCGTGCGAGGCGGACTCTAACATTGTTTTATATTTTACCTACTTATACGTATCGATGTAATGATATTTATTTATATGTACTTATGATATAAATTGTGCAGCTTTAATGTTTACTTACAATGGTTTTAGATCGTGATTTTGAATCTCGTCATAAGTCACAAACGTCAGTAGCAATAGCGTAGAGCCGCGTAGGAGTTGCGTAGCGAGCGCGTCCGCGAGGTGTCGTCGGCAGGCGGCGCTCGGCTGTGTTGTGCAATGTTTAAACAGAGTTTAGTGTAGAAAAAGCTCGCGCCTTGACGGCCGAGTGGAAGAGGATGGAGAGATTGGGGTATAGTGGAGTGGCAGCGCGCTCTGCCGGCGCGGCGCGGACTCGCCCAGCAGATAGTCACACTAGTTATGATAAACATCATGAAAATGTTTGCGCATTTTCGTTATTAAATTTTACTGTACTTAATTTTTAATCGAATAGATGTTACGTTATTCTTTTATATGATGATTATTTGTAAGTTGTCATAAAAATATTATTAATATAATTATTTTTATCAAAGTTTATAATCTAAATAAAAATGTTTTTCTTCAAAACATCCGAGGTGTTTTACTATGAGATCCATGAAGAAGAGAAAGGCCAAACTAAGACGAACAATGTTTACACTAAAAATTATTTATTGACTCGACATATGGTCCATTATTATCCCTTGATCGCCAGCTCTTCTCGAACATTACCTACGTACACATATGTCTACATTTATTAAAAATAAATTATTTAACTTCCATAATGACTTTATTTGCTTATCATAATTTAACAACAATTTACCACATATGTACACCGACAAGCGATACGAGAATGTTTCGAAAGCAGCACAATAACATTTATATTTTAGATAAAATATATCTATAGAGAGAAGCAAAGAGAACGATTTTATTATTCAAGACTAAATACCTAATAGAGTAAGTAAAGTAACTCCATAGACAGAAAATTGTTAAACTACATTGAAGATCAGTCAAATATTAAAACGACATGTACATTAAATAATTATCGTAAATAAAATACACTTTCTATCCATCTATGAATTTCTAAATCTTATTCTCGAATTAACGTCAAAAAACCTTGTATCTTGTAAAATTAAATGATTTTGTAACCTTACTTAAAGATGCAAAAAATAAACATATTAAATTATAAATTAAAATTACCAACTGTTTATTATTTAAATGTAATAGAAGATATATTGGTACCACGGCTAAAATTATAACTAATTTAAAATTTACATTAATAAACCTAAATCAACTAAAACACGACACACTATGTGCACATTAGATCTATTTTGAAATTATAATATAACAATTTTCAGTTTTATAATATTTAATAAATTAGAACAACTAATTTAATTAGAAAATAACATTTCAGTTACTTAATCACTAGTTTTTCTAAATTAATATAATTTCAGATCATTAAACTATTATAACACGAGAGACGAAAATGGTTGGAAACTCAGTGTTAAAAGGATTACATTTTGTCAAACAAAGCACTTTGCTTTACATAAATTTAGATAAAACATATTTTTCATTATCTCCACATTTCTTTTCTTATAATGTTTGATCAAAAAGTACGGGATATATTTAAGAATTATTTATTTACATTTTATATTAGCATCCACTATGTATGTTTACTAGTAAGCCATACCCCAAAGAAATCGTGATCTGAGCAAAGTTTATTTACCTTTTTCTAAATACTAATATCATACCTAACGATATTACGTTGAAATGTTTTGAAAGCAGCAAGCAAACATTTTGAAATATTAATTTTAGCACAAGCTTTAATTATTGAAAATACTTTTTAATAGTTTTATACAATTGTTAGGGTTAAAAATTTTCGATATCATTGAGTTAAAGAGTAAAAACACCAGCAATATTAAGACAGTGCATAGGCACATTGTGATACCATGATAAAGCGATTTGATTCCATTCGCAACGGCCCTGAGGTAGAGCGAGAGTGTCAGTGGTCAGACATGGGACACTATAATGGTAAATGCCGACAACAATTACTAACGAATATATGATTTACAATTTAATTAAAATGTAACATTTGTGGTACATTACAGGTAGAGTGAAAGCGTAGACCGAAAGACAATCTTGCGCTTCCTTGATCGTAAGTCCGGTGCTCATTTAGTAGCGAGAAGCGTTAAGTTGTACACTGAACATTATATTTGAATCTTGAACCGCTCCCCGTCAGAGCAGTTCAGGAGTGATGGCTATTGTATGAGAGGCGAGCTCTGGCTGTCACTGAAGTCGAGCGTGTAGTACATGTCAGCGGTGTCGAGGGGTGCAGCAGGTGGTGCGGCGGGGGGCGCGGACCCGCGCTTCTCCTGCAGCCAATGGTGCGGCGGCCCACTCTCCGTCACACGAGACAAACGCGACAGCAGACGCGCGTATGTCTTATTCACGCGGCAGTGGCATGCTGTTACCTGGAAAAATAGTTTTATAAGTTAATACAAAAATAATAAAGAAGAAAGAAGGCATCACTTTAGTAAAAACAAAGAAAGTTCACTGTTGAAAATAATTAACCCTCGAGCTGTGGTTGATGTTTACGGTTATATTTACTTAATTTATTTTACGTGTTTAGCTCCTATAACAATTTAATCAAGATACTACAATATGAGAACATACGACAACTCCAACAATAGCAATGGCGGCGCCAAGCGTGCCGGCAGCGATGTAGACGTTGTGCAGACGGTCATGGTAGAGACCGAGCGGGAGACGCAGCTCTCGCACACCGCCCGCACGCCCCTCAGACCGGATACCTGACTCTCCCATGCCCATCTCTCCCACCTCGCCCTCCACCACCGGCTCCAGAATGAAATCCTCTGAAATATATGTTCAGCTTGCTTCAAGATGTTTAATGGTGTCTATCGACTAAAACGGAGCACTTGTGTTATTCTAACCTGTTTGATTTACATACTTTACGGGTTGTATTCTATAAAACTGTGACATTGTAACATATAGCTAACCTTCGCAAAGTTTCCCCGTATATCCTGGTCGACAGGAGCAGTAGAAAGAGTTGGAGCTGCTCCAGCAAGTGCCGCCGTGCGCGCACGGATTATTGTCGCACGGCTGCAAATATTTCAACAATTATGACATAATTTGTTTAGATCCTAAATTTTACTTAAAAAAAATTAAACATAATGAATGTTCCTATGTTATTTAAGGGTGGTTACCGTTCATAGTATGATTATTTCTATAGGTTAAAGACATAAGCTGACCGATCTGGGTGGTACGTTGCAATCGATGCACTCGCAGGTGTAGGAGTTGCCGCGGTCCACGCAGTAGTGGTTCTCCGAACAGGGGTTCGGCGAGCACAGGTTCACCTGTATTACATTAAACGTCCTCTATAATACAACTAGAAAACAATAAACCTAATCCAGAACATTAAGTGTTTAGCTATAAACGTAAAACAAAAAAATATTAACATTATTTTATTGTCATCATTCATTTTTAGGAGATTTAAAATGAAGATTTTATTGACGCCTGATTCTATTTCTATAAATATGTTTCCTACTAAATTCAGACAAGTTACTAAAAGCAATTGCATGTTTGCTTTAAAATATTCATTATTTAGTGTCAAAATAAGTGCACATTTATTTCACTCGTCGCCTAAAATGGCGGTGTATTTGAGAAGGAAATATGCATTGACTGTAACTATTTTTTTATTTAATGAATGATTGTTTGTATTTGCGGCTATATTGTTTATAGTTGCGACGAGCGCAATTTTATCTTGTCTGGGTGCGGTCAATTAGCTTAGAATAGACACGCTGCCGTTTTCTACCACTTATCAAATGCCGGTAGTACATTATAACATATTCAATCAATAAGTCTTTTTCAAAATTATGTATAACTTAAGGTACACTTGCACATATTACATCGTTACGTATTTTATCATAACAGTAATAATGTGTTATAATTTCTAATATTATAATCAAACGTTTTATATATCAAATAATATTTATACATCTATTAAAAATCTTCTAAAATGTACAAAGATATACAGAGGATGTAGTGTGGGGTACCTTAAGCTGGCAGGCGTTGCCGGCGTAACCGCGGCCGCAGGCACACGTGAAGCCGGCCACGCGATCGGTGCACGTGCCGCCGTTGAGACACGGCGACGACTCACACTCATTGTACTCCACCTCGCAATGCTCGCCTGTGTACCCTGAAACAAATACATGCTATTTTTTAAAACAGAGTTCTTGAACCGACGTCCTCAATCGTACGTTAATCAAACAGATAATGTACCAATACACCAAAAAAATTGGTTACATAAGTCCGATGAATTAAATGTGTCTGGAATCACGATCACGATGAATGGAATGATGCTTTAAGTATAAAGGAATCGCCTGCTTTGAAAAATAATATTGTTTTAAGAATAACTCTTATACTGCCTATTTTGTACAAATAATTTAGTAAATTGAAGGATGAATGGGAAAATGCTAAACAGCCCGTGTCAATGGAATTGAGTGTATAAATGTATGCATTGTAAATTGGTTCGCGCGCTCGCCGTGTTTATTCTGTGGCCTGTGGCACTCGGAATGCTCACCGCTAAGTCAACCTCGATGCTATTCTGCAAATATTGATTGTTCTGGTGTCAGTTGATGTCATTAACTCATTAACATTGCCCCAATGATGATCTTCAATACACGAATATTAAAGAGCATTAAAGACTATTAAGAGCATGTTTCAATCATGTCAACATTGTCATGTATATTAGAAACACGATAAATGTATAACAAAGGATTTCTCAATCTCCATTGGATAAAATTTTCTGGGTTTTATGTTTGAAAGCCCCTTCGTACACAAGGCTACGTAAATCTTCGAAACTAATATTCCTTGCGTCCTTGCGACACGAGTATCGCGTTGCACGCGCTCCGTACACATATTGTTGATTCGTCGACGCAAGTCGTCTATTCTGTAAGTACTTTTTACGACCATCTCGACAACCAGGTTGCGAGTAACTTTGGTGACTAAAGAAAAAAATATTAGCGACGCATGCCTATGTATGAAACTCTATGAAATTGTTTTACATAAGTCGCTTAACGACAAAAATCCTCGCGTTTCGAAGAGACCTACGACTAGGGGTTTCATTAGACACGTTTAGGCAATTGCAAGCGGAGTCGTACGGGCAACCTTCCAAATATATACGTTTGGAATAAGTCGGTCATAATTTCAAGCGGCCGCTTTCGAATACGAGATTACTACGTTATTAGAGGATTTACAGTGCCGTACCGCATTCATCTTTCAACTCTCCCCGTTTTATTTGAATAATACGCAAACAGACCTTTGATTTAAATGTTTTGAATTGAGAATCTAAATGGTAAATTGAGTTCGAATTCA